GGTTTGAGGTTTCGGGTTTAGGGTTCCCGTGATTCATAAAGCTCAGCAGACGAGAGCCGAGGGCGCTTCAGATACGTGGAGCTTTTTCTGTTTGTGTTTGAGCGGGTGGGTTTGATTATTTAATTATTTCTCTCAAGTTCTTGGTGATGGCGCTGTTGCTGTGCATCCTGTTGCTGAAGAGGTGCAGACTGCTCAGGGGGGGGGGGGGGGGGGGGNNNNGGAGAAATTTTGGTTTCTACTGCCCTTAACCGCGCTATGCGAACATAGGCCTTGAAGGAAGGCTTGGGCCTGGGCTGGAATTCAGGGTTCTGAAAAAACGAAACATGATAATAATGGTAGTAGCAGTATAATCGTAATGGTAGTAGTACTAGTCATAGTCATTGTAATGGTAATAGTAATCGTAATAGCAAGAGTAGTGACAATATGGATAGTCAGCCTGAGGGTTTCATGATCTCGGCCCGTTGAACTTCAGGTTGTCACCGACTTTGACTTAGCTGAGGGAAGTTGATGCATCATTAGCAGACTAGCATCAGAAGGCAGCTGCCTTTTGGTGGCCTGACGTCTAGTCTGCTGCATTTTTGCGGTTTCTTTCCATCTCCGCCCTATCACCCCAACCCGAAGCTCTGAACCGGCTTCCCAGATTTGCTCCTGTGTCAGGGCACGGCTGGCCAGGGGCGAGGCAACTGGACTGAGCGGTTCGTGTGAGGTGTGGCTAAGGAGCTTTGGGCAAATCAGAGCTTTGGGCAAATGAGAGCTGAAAATGCCGGACCCCTGAACTTGTCACTAGCTTCTGCACTACTTGGGGTTCTCGCCGCTGCTCTTGTTGCTTTTGCTGTGGCTATTGGTTGTTGAAGCGCCATCAAAGCAGTATTGTTTCTGACCTGTTCGTTGAGCCTGCCCCCCGAAGCAGGCAGTAAACGTGACCGCGTGTTCTCAGTACATCTTGCCTGATCCAGTCTTAGAAGCAAAGCTTCAAGGGATTGAGCCCGACCAATGTAAGGAGCTGTGCATATGAGTAGTTCCGAATCTCTCAATGTGGTTAGGGCTAATTAACGGCTAGTTAAGGTTAAGGGTTTAGCCTAAACCCTAANNAACCCTAAACCCTAAACCAATGACATTAGCCGCTTTAGGAGTTTAGGGTATGTGCTATAAGCAACTCCTCACCGGCAAGGCAGCAACAGCGCCGCACTGGCAGAAGGACGAGGCTCCAACTGCAGTTTCAGTGTTTCGACCGGTAATATAGGGGCCTAAATTATTAC